AGGCGAACTCTACCCTGAAATAAACAAATTCCGACGAACTTTCAGATCGTACCTGTATTGATGAACAAAAGTTGTTTACTCACATATGATGAAAAACTTGACTCAGCCTCTCAAAGGGAACTAAACTAAATGACGCTTACCAAACAAAACTGGTGTTTACCAATACACAATCCGGATCTATCGTGACAACTGGAAGGCTCTAGATACCTTAAAATCTGTTGAAGCTACATTGTGTGAATTTTAGTAGATTCAATTTTTCCATACCCAGATAACGACCTGATACGGGAGCCAATATGCCACTAGTGGCCGACTGATTCGGTTCTATCGACGACGGAGAGACACAAGTTATGTCATCAAAGACTATACTATACCCGTGGAACGAGGAGTGGACATTGTGACTTATTTCCCTGATAGACAACACTTTTGTGTTTGAAGCGGTTGGTCTAAGATTAGAGTTTTAGTGCGAACAACAACAACAACAACAACAACAGAAAACTAGCTCACAAAACTGATGGAAACACTAATTCAAATCTCATAACTAAACAATGTTTGTCGCATTTAGCATAAGTGGAATATACAGAAAACTGTAAAGTTAGGGAAAAGTATCAAATGAAATGTTTACCATCCATTCCAACTGTTTAAAAACTATCGGCAGGATAGTGTGTAACATTCCTCGCTGCTATCAACACCTTCACTCTCAGATGCGGAAGTTCAGAAATAAAAACAAGACACAATATTAGATGAACCTAGATATGACACAGTGATTATTGGATATTCACATAATCAGAACTAATCAAATATTTTCAGCGTTACCTTTTTCCGTAAGAATATATGACTTACTCGACGAAACAAGAATATCATCTAGACATTACTGGTATTTATTAACAATCATCCAGTTTTACAATGTGTAATCCTATCATTAGTCAAGTCAATAAGTTCACCCCAGTGAGTGACCGTCTTTCAGTTTCCATATTTCAGTACAACAAATTAACTCGTACTGACAGTTTCCATTTATTCATACAATCTCTGTTCCCCGAACCACTAAGCCTTTCCAGTTCCATTTCAAAACAAAGCTCATATCAGACAAATTTCGGAAAAGATCCTTTTGAGAACAAATGAATTCGACGAATATTTAGTTTAAAAAGTTTGATCACTTGAAAAACCAACTCTTTTGAATGCAAACTGAAGATGACACAAGGATGAAAAACTATTGTTAATAAAAAGTCATCCTTAACATAAATAAAGCAACCGAAAACTGAACTGAAATATATTTCACCTACTTACCAAGTGGTATTAGCTTGGAAATAAAGAGGAATACAAACAACAAGTAGAATTAAAAGTTAACACTTTTTAGATGAAGCGGCGAAAGAAACGGAGTTCTCGATACTTTTTTTCACAGAGGAATAGGTCACTTGAGTAGTCGATTATGATATGATTTTATTTCCATTTTCGGTAATTGTATTAAAACAATTACGTGGGTGTTTGGAAATTCGACATGATTTCTTGAATGGATACCACGGAAACACATCCAGCGTTCAAATAAACTCGATGATGTGTCCGCTCAAAAATTGCCTATAGAATATGAACTACTACACTACTCCAGCAAAAATTTGCAGTAGTGAGCATATCTATTTACACATATTTACACCGGAAAGTGTGCATGCAACACTACTTAAGTTGTCTTTTAGGTTTTCGTGTAAGTACAAAAGTTCACCACATTGGCAGAGTGTAGTTTCATATCAGATTTTTAGTAGAACAACTTAACAATATCAAATGTTTGATTAAAGGAGATGTTTAAGATCATTGCGAAAAATATCTCCTTTTATTAGAATAATGCAAGATTGTTATGCCACACTTAATAAACTTTTTCGGTATTAATTCACTTTCACAACATCATGGCGCAGATAATACACTTCGTATAGTAAACCAATAAAATGTGTATTACTACACATTTTCAGCGGTATTTTTGGATACAATTCGCGTATATATATATATATATATATATATATATATATATATATATATATATATCTTTGTACGACAGGGCAGGTGGTGACTGGGCATTCATACACATGTTCCAGCCACTTCATCGATCAAGGTTCACAACCTCATCAAATGACTATCCTCTCCTACCTAACACTCTACACTTGACTTTTGGAATACTAACGCAGTAACACCACGACACACGGCTTATATTACGAAGGCAATAATGGTCAAATACCTGAAGGCTTCTCATATCCCCTGCTTTTAATTGCCATGTTTCACGTCTGTGCAGTATAGCAGAGTGAACTCCGTTTAGAAGTTCGATATTTTAGCTTGTTAGTTTTAACTCCGACTATGAACGCATACTGCCGGTATCAGGTTGCCACGGGGTAAAGGTAAGTGCGCCTTTGCTTTACGGTTGACATCCCCCCTTTCTTCGCATAGAGAAAGCAGCATCAGCACTGCACTGCTGGTTATCTGTGGAAAACACCTTGTCGCTGTCATCCCCATCCACTCAGCAGTACGACTTCGCCATAGGACCCCTATCATAGAGTAGTAATTTGTACTATGACGGTAACTGTTTTTTGTCTTATCATAATCCAACTGGACTTTCTAGTCTGGTAGGACGGCAAGGGATCAGGTTTTACACCAGATGAGTTCTCCAGGTTATTGTGATATGTGAGCTTGACCACTACGTCAAAGTAACAGTCAACGGTCGCAGTGGATAATATCACAACGAAATGATTGTGTTTTTTTCTTTTTTCTACTGTTTCACTCGCTGGTGATTATCGTTCATATGCGCTGCATCAAGTCATTCTCAGCGTAACGATGAAGTATCCAGGACCACAGGAATTAATCGTTCTACATAAACAGTTAGACTAATGGAGTCCTTTTCACTGCTAATGCATGCATTCCTGACATGAGTCAAGCAGAAAGCATAAATCATTCCCTTTCCAAGTCTAATAAGTTTATCAGGTAAGCTAATATTACTGTCGAAATTCTCGTTAATCATCGGAAAAGAAAAACAACGGTCGGTTAAGCAGGAAGCATGTAGTGCAACCTAAATAACTGTTGAACTGCAGCATTCTTATATTATCGCAAATACACGTCGATAGAAAAATACATAAAACAGTAATAAACTGTTATTACGGCTTTCGTTTATGCTGATGTATGCATAATAAGGTAATAAATAAAAGGTGTTTTCAATAATTTATGTTCCAGAATAAAAACATGGAACCAAGTAAGTAAAACTATTGGTAATTTTGAGAATTAAAAAGCTAAATTTGTTTAAAATAAAGAATTTGGACTGTAGGTAAGCGAAAATTCGCTGATTGACCTAAAGTTTATAGAAGTTTGTAGCTGAGAAAGTTGTTTGCTGTTCTGTGAGCTTGTTTCGCTTGCTAATCGGGGATATATCTTATGAATACCTTGACATCACTCTTTAGGTGGAGCGGTGCCTAACTGGCTTGGGCAGTTACTTTTACATCAGTGCGTCGAGTCACAGGTACGAACACCTCTCACCCACCGAGGTTTGGGCAGTCAGGTAGTATGATTACCCTTCATGCAATAAGTGTGACCCATTATCGACTGCATGAATGTGATTTCATCACACTTTACGGTTTTAAAATAAAAGTTACATCGGCGTTACGACTTGAGTTGACTGAAATGTACATATACAACGAAATATACGAAATGAAAATGATCTAAAAACATCCAGACAATTAACTGGTAAAAACTCAAACAATCAACTGAATTGTCACTTCAGTAAGGAAGCAATATAGTGGCTTCGTATGGACCAACTTACACCAGTCATACTGCCTACTGAAAGAGGAATAAAATGCAAAACGATCTGACATCTTATTGAGTGACTGAGAGAAGAGACCGTTAACGATAAGTAACATGATGTTTACAAGTATTCACTTACAGTTATCTTCAAAGCATTGCTCATATGTTAGGGTACTTCTGAATCAGAATTATTGAGATCAGGGTTTGGAGGTGGAAAGTAGGAAAGTAAATCAGTCGACTATGTTTTCTAAACTATAATATTAAAAGTGGCTGGAAAATGCGTCGCACATGCCAATCAACCGCGTATTTTAATTAATGATAATGACTGAACTACTACCAAGTTGCAAAAATGGTCTGAAAGGGATCTAAGATAAGTTGAAGTCCCATAGGCAGAAATGTGCTACATGAGATTAAATTATCAATCGTGAATCATACTTATAATCACTTTAACTTCCGAATAAATTAATAAAAAACTAAATGTATATGATCGTTTGCATTTGGCATGCGTTAAAAAGATTAACATCATTAATATATAGCTGAAACAGGAGATATCGAAGCATCTGTGCAGGAGTGGTCATTGTGGTTTAATGGACTAGTGGATAGCGCTCTGGCATTTGAAGTGATTCGTCCCGAGTTTGAGTGGGAACGACATCGTTTACTGGGAGGCAGGTACATCAAGCTGACAAGTCCCAAATAGGACAAAACGCACATCCTGAATTTCACCGCTAGCTACTACCCATCATCAGTATATAATTAAAAATCCATTTACATACTGAAGAGTGAAGAAGCGTACACTAACTAAAAACGAAAAAGCATTGCTTTTTTATTTCCAGTCCACTTTGCACTACACAACGGGTCAGAAGTTGTCATATGTGACTTGAAAACAGCTGTCCGCCAGATTCGCATCGAAAGCTGAAAATGGAACAACTTCAGTTAGTACTCTTTATTGAATGCATATATATATATATATATATATATATATATATATATATATATATATATATATAATGGATAATTTCTTGTTATGTCTCATGTATAAGGTGAAAAATTCAGTATTTATCAACTTTCTCAGGAGTACAAGGTGATCCCAGATAAACAACAGATTCAGGAAGTTATGAAGAATGTAATGCTTTATTGTGTGAACACATTAATGGGTTTTTTTTTCCTGTTGTAAGCCACAGATAACAGCGTTAAAGGAAGCGAGAAAAGACTAGAAAAAAGTGCCAACTTACTTTTCCTTTATGAATAGGTAGAGGATAAATTTTACCTTGTGGAGCATCAGATGCATACAAAGATTCATTCAAAGATTCATTCGAACCCAATTCAATTAAGCAAACTGTATTGATACTAATATCATCAATTTCTTTTCTGGTTAACCGTTTATTCATGAGATGGGAATTAATGGATAATGTTGAATTATACGGTTGAGTTTGACTGGATACGGGTAGATCAATAAATGGCTTTTCTTAATCAAATGTGGAGGCCTTGCGCGTAGCTGAATGAACAGAAAAAGGTAACAGAGTGAAAATGAAATTTGATGTGGATAAGATACTATGAATATTGAACTTTACCGCTTAGTTACATGAAAGTGACAAGATTGTGATATGCTTAGGCACTATCAAAAAAAACCAAGAGAAAATCTCAGACAAGTTGTCATTTCACTTACATCTCTTCTAGAAGATCGGTAGACTTCAGTCAAATGAAGTTGGATTGCTTAGACTATTCAAACTTAACTCTGGTGTGCAGTTAATCCATATATCATTTGTCAGGAATTTATAAGGCTTACTCAATCTGTAGTTGCAAAAATACTTCACATTAACTACTTCTAACTTAAAAATATTATCAATTTGACTATCTGAAATAGCTGTGGTTTGGCAGATTTGTATTATTGATACAGAATGAAGATTGAAGGTGAAATAAAAATACGGGTGGCAGCAGGATTCGTTCGGACTAGCGACCTCTGAGTTACCAGCACGGTGGCTTTACCTACTGACATTTTCATTTCATCTTCGATCATGACCCAGTGTCCATAATACAAATCTGCCAAACCTCGGCTATCTCAGATAGTCAAACTGGTAATCAATATGATGCTCTGCCTCTCTAAATTAGCTCGATCTGGATTGGGATGAGAAGTCACGGCTTGGCAGCCAATGTGAATACGATGAACGGATGGTAGCATCTCGTGAATTCACACTTCAGTTGGACAAAATCCTTGGTGATTGAAGTTAAATTAACAATTGGTCAGCAGCGGGTTCTCTTGGCTCACTTGGTAGAACACTGACCTGGTAGCCCACGGGACACTGTCGCAGTTCAGATCATTTCACTTTCAATGTTCACCCAGTATTAAAAATGTTATTAACTACGATTAAGAACCAACTTAATTCATTCTAATAATTTTAATGAAACCTCAATAAATGTAAGGTAAGAATCATCATATCGAAAAATAAATAGGCGATTAACGCAAATTATCCACGAAAACGTTTTCTTTGTGTAAGTGACAAAAATGTTTTTATAAATACGGATACATACAGGACAAAGCGAAAACCGAAAGAGAATGCAAATTTTGACTACCCAAGACATTGGTAATTACTTTTAATAACAACCACAGTACGATTGTATCATGCATCCTACTTACTTGGATAAATATTTGTCGCAATGTATGTGAACGACAAAGTGAAAAAAGTACAACACTTCCCTATTTTTAACAAATACAACAGTAGATAAGAAGAAAAAGTGTGGACATTGAATGATGCATAAATTAGCACAGAAGATTTGCAGCTCAGGATAAGAAATGATAACTGCTCGGTGTTCGAGCCTTGAGGTTTTTTCTTCAACGATTCATTACTGCCATTTATTTCATAAAGAATTAGACAGCATTATATTGACTTGATTAAAATGTCACTTATTTTAAAAAGAAAGTATTATGGTGTCCACCATGACTGTCCAGATTCGTCAGGAAAGCTCAAAATCCCTGAAGTCTTTCCCAACCGAGTATTATAAACCAAAGTTTCGAGAAAAGACATGAGAACATACATATAAATATCAGTTTGTTTGGAGAGGCGAAATCAATTGACAGTTTTCGTTCTGAAAATGCACAGATATAACTAAAGCCACTGCATTTATATATGTATATATCTTGCTTTTTTCCGAATACTTTAACTTTGGAATGGATTTCTTGTCTTACCGCATTTTCTATTTTCCGAGGAATTCAGCGACTAGTTCAAGTGTTCACACGTATACATCAAGTCATATCAAAAGGCCCCTAAGACTTTTGACGAATAAATGCCTATCGAATATAGTTGTATGCAAAGGAAGTGCTCTCTGTTCCCCTCTATCTACTACAACAGTTTGTTTCATCAGTGAATCCGGAGTAATTATCCAATGAGTGAGTGGTGCGGAGGAAAAATGCTCCGATAATGAGAAAAGGGTGATAGTTGACAAAGTTACTTAAGAACTATCGAACATATTGACCAGATTATATGTTACAAATGATGAGTAACAAGGTGTATTCTGTCTCATGTTACGCAGTCTTTTAAGTCACTACGCGGAACATTCATCTTCTAACGGATTTGTTTTAAATATCCTACTAGCATTCATATTTTATGAAAATTAAATTCCTGATTAAAAGTTATTTACATTTCTAGTCTCATCAGAGAATGCAGGGAAATATACTGGGGCGAAAATTATGATGCCATTAACGAATTCACTTTTTAATAATAACAGTAATGAGGATAAGACACATGTTTATTTAATTGATTAAAGAACAATACATAAACAATTTTTTACGTTCAATGTCCCGAATTTAGACTGAACACTTGGGGATCGATATGCGATCAACGAAGAAAGGTAGAAAGAAATAAGAAAGTGGTGAATGAATCTGAAGTAAGAAGTTAAAGATAGTGCTTTTTCACTTCATCATGTATACGTGGGTATGGAAAAGACATAAGTTTCAAATCACATGAACTTTAAAAGCATTCTGACGTTAAGATAGGAAACATAAAGTAGTGCAGTCGAACTATGCCAATTATCAATAACTATAAGCAATGACTATCCAAGTGGTCATGAGCCCAATCTCCTTAAAAAACAGCGGTGAATGTTATATCTATGAGGAAAGGATCCAACTTGAAACTGAAAAGTGGATATTTAATTATTCATGTTATGGTTATTACTACTGTTACCTAAACATAAACTCGATACGAGTCTCAGGCGACGAGCTCAATATAGTATACATTGGAAATCTTAATTGATACATTACTGATTTAGGCCCTGAAAGAATATTCAGTCACTTGTACTGAAACAAAATCACCCAATCAGAGAAATTTCTCCCAGAATTTATTTCAAGTGTCGAATTCATGAGCCGACAGAGCAAAACTACAGATAGTTTTCGCAGAGCAGTCAGATTTGTGTGCTATTAATCCCTTTACAGATTTGTAGTCCATGTGCTCTAAGATTTTTTTATTCTCATACCTGTATTCGATTTTAGTACTGGACAACCGTTTTCACTCTTTTAATTATTCAAAGAACAACGTTAATAGAAGTAGAAGCCTGCAGCTGCACAAGGACATCCCGGGAGAACGAGTTGTTTCTATCCAACCTGAGGTAGAGGAAAATTGATCAACATTATACAGAAAACTAGGAAAGGAAATAATGTTCTAGGAAGGTTTATGAATATACCTAGGAGGAAATTATTTCCATTTTTAATGAAAATATATATAGTTCATATCAGATGAAAATCATTCAACATGAAAAAAGGAGTCTAGTAATAAACTACATTAGAATCATTTTTATCAAATTGCTGATAAATGAAAAGCTAGTGTACTTTGATCAATATGGGTGATCATATATATATATATATATATATATATATATATATATATATATATATATATATATATATATATATATATATATAATGCATTCACAGCGTTTGCGCTTGTGGTTAAACGACACAGCCCTGGAACTGAACTGCTATAAAGCTTTATAAATTAAGTGCTATTTGGTGAAGTGTGTCATCATAAACAAAATTCTGCCGTGGTTTAGGACATCCTTTCGTTTTCGTTACTAATCAATCTGTCATTTCATTACCTTTTCATCGACTGGATGTCTCGTTTCAACACAATACATTACGCCCTATTAGATTACAGTTAGCACAATCCGTACACTCCTTGCTGACAACTGTTAACAAGAATGAAACCTAGGTCCAGTGCTTCCTAGCGATTAGCTTCAACCAACTAACATCCACCAAAGTTCACCGCGTATGTGAACGTCCTAGCTTGGTGGCCACATTAAGTGGTCGATAAAGTTTGGTCAGTACTTTGGGAAAAACATGGAATTCGCTGCTCTCCAGTGACCAATCGATGAATCTAATTCAGTCTCACAGGAGGTCAGTCACGGCCCAAACAGCTCAGTGGTAGCGTCAGTGACTGCAACACCGGGTGATACAGGTTCAAATCTCACTGGGGACATTATTTCCTTTGAGGTTGCAAATACGCCCTGCTGACGAGTGCTAACAAGCACGAAACCTAGGTCAGAGGCTTCCTGTCGATTTCCCACAAACAACTAACAACCTGTAGATGTGTTCATAGTCTAGTCTAAGATCTGCTTTATTAAACTGCTTTTTGTCACTTCAGTGAAACATCCGTAGTTTAACCTGATCAGCCGGTATTGTTAACACACAAAGAATTAAAACGCACTCGGTAACTCCGGTAAGTGTTATATGTGAGTAAATCTATATTTTGATGATCATTTATAGCAAAGGGTGTGTGAGAATGACAACCCACAATTTATATACCAATAAAACATTTTATTTTTTTATCGATCCACAAAAGTCTCAAATCTGCTTTATGTAAAAAACCGGTCAACATGATACTCTTTAAATACATTTACTTTGCGAGACCCGAACGTATACCTTCAGATGCCACGGTCAGATAAATAATCGCTACTCTATCCAGAAGGCCAGATAGGTTAGATAGCTAGATTTTGATTGGTGTTAATTACCGGGGTGTAATACTAGGATATATCCCACTAACTGGCAGTCAACTTCCCAAGTAGAGGTCTTTATTCTGTCTCAATAGATGTTGACAGAAAGAGGAAATACACGACTAATCACTAGGCAGTTTTTTCAAAGTTATTTAGTATCACTCAACACTGATTCTGGAAATTGTGAAGTTGAACTTAGGTGGAATTTCTCACCACGGACTTTGCATTCTACAAACTCTGATTTCATGCTAAAATCTTTATTCCAACTCTGCTGTGAGATATCATAAAATTTCAGTTCCCTTCATTTGTATGCCAGTGGTTGGCTAAGAATATTTTGCGCATGCATACGGATATGAACAAAGTAAGGACTTAGTAAAACTGAATTTTTTTACTCAAACTGTGGTGCTTG